ATTACCTACAGATTGGGTGTAAACTATATTCTTATAAATCACACCAATTTACAGTTCAGGAGAACTTGGCTATGGAACTCTCACAAAGTTTCTCTTCATTCTTTAACAAATATTATTTGTTTAACAAATATTTATTTAGCTCCATGCTAAAGGATCTGAGTGACTTTGCACAAATGATTCTCAGGGTCTCGGTTCACTCATCTATGCAATGGAGATGGTAATAGTATCTACCTCATGGGGTTGTTGTGGGGACTGAAGGAGCTAATACATGTAAAACTCTTAGACTCAGTGCTTGCACGTGGTAAGGGTTAAATAAATGTTAGTGATTCATATTATTACCCTCAGTTATGTGTCAGGCTTGTAGTATATAAACAGTAATAAGACATAGTTCCAGTTCTAGAAAATTTATGATGTAGAAGAGAGGATGAACAATAAACACTTAAATGAATATGCTTGAAAAATGCTTTGAGTACATAAATGACTGACTGTCTTGGAATGGAAAATACATTCAAAATGAAAATAATCAGCCACCTAATCAAATCAAGTTCAGATAGTCATTTATTGTTTTTCAGTATTGTTATTGTAAATCTGATGCCTCCTATTCTTGGCGTCTGAAATTTGGAGCTCCCAGGGCTCAGGCCTGTGACCTTTATTCTTCTGTGCCCTGGCTCATTCCTAGGTGACCTCACCCTTTCATGAACTATAATGCTGAGTTCATGCCTCTGAGCCCAGCATCATGCCTGAACTCCCATATATGAGTACATCTAAATTCAAATTCTCCATTCTGAGCCATTCCAAACTGCTTTTCCCACAGTGCTCCCCAAGGCAAATCCCAAAACCAGTCATCCCTAAGAGCACAGTGACATCCTTCCACCTAGACTACTACAAGAGCTTCCTAAGGGATCACAGAGTTTCCATTCTTGCTCCCCGAGAACTATTCTCAGCACAGCTGCCGGGCGACCTTTCCAAAACATTAACTATCCATGGCCTTCCTCCGCTTTAAACAGTCCAGGGGGTTTCCTTTATCCTGTCTTTTTCATGGCCTATGAGGCCCAGACAATCTGCCCCTGAACTGCCTCTCTGCCCTCCTCCCCTACCCTGCCCCCCTACTCTCTCTCTTGCCCCCTTCTCCAGCCACACCAACCTCCTTGCTGTCTCTTCAATAGACCAGTCAAGCTCTTACCTCATGGCCTTTGTACATGTTGTTCCCTCTGCCTGGACTATTCTTCCTCCAGATAGCCTCTTGGGTCCTTCTCTGACTTTATTCAAATGTCTGCTCAAATGGGAGCCTCCTAACTAAAACAGTACATACACTCCCACTCCAGTCTCTAACTGCTTTGCTCTGCTTTTTTTCCTAGTGCCTGACATTCTATTTTATTAGTTTGTTGCCCTAGCTTGAATATAAGCCTTATGAGGCAGAGTCCTTGCCTCTTTCGGTCACAATCCCAGGGCCGAGAATGGTGCCTGACACACAGTAGATACTCAATTGATATTTGATGGATGAATGAATAACTATTACCTTAATTTACGCAGAGTTTCATAGTTTACAAAGTAGTCACATATACATGTCAACGAGCCTTCTAACGACTTGGGGGATAGGCTCTGTTATATCTATTTTATAAGTAAGTTCTAAGTCTGCTTACTATTTTTGAAGTTCCTTGTTCAAGGTCATGCAGCTCTTGTTCACATAGGTCAAATGCTGGTCTTTTACCTTCAAACCCAGATAATCATAAAATATTAACAATAGTTAACAGTCTGTTAGTACTCCTCTTGACACTTGTAGTATCTCATTTAACAATGCTTTGAGATAGGTACTCTTATGATTGCCATTTTACAGAGGAAGAAACTAAGTAACTTACCCAAGGTCACAGAGCTGCTGAGTAGTGCAGTCAGAATCTGGGTCCTGGATACTTGACTCCAAGGACTTGTTCTCCAACCAACTAGCCCACTAGGTACAGCCTGTGACATGAAAAGAACTAAGTAAACTGTGGAACACAAACGCACAAATACCAAATTTGTTCTAGGACTTTCTGCCATTCTTAAGTTTTTTGCTTTTGTTGCATTTAGCAGAAATTTTCTCTTTCTTTAAAATATAAAGTGGAGAGTTGTATCTCAGATGCAATTTACAGTATGTTGTTTTCTGCTTTTCATTCATCTTTGAAATGTTTGAACACTTGTTTCTGAATTGAGAGGTCACTTAGGACTCACAGGCAGGGCTCAGGGGTTTCCAGTATTTTGTCCTTCTGCCTCCTCCTGTAGCTTCATGGTGCCTTCATGGCCAAGTGCACAGGCTGCTCTTCCCTCTGAGCTTCAGATTCCGCCTCCTCGCCCCATGACATGCCTTGTTTCATAAATTCTCGCCTTCAGTGTATTACATAACCTACATTGTGGAACACTCAATTTCTATTCCTTTCCTTTCTTTTCTTTTTTTCAAAAGTAGGAATCTATTTGACTGGATGTGAGGGCACCCGAGGCAGAAATGTGGCAAAATTTTAAGTGGTGAGAAATCTAACTCAGCTACCTGGATTTTGAGAAGCAAATTGTGATTCCCCGACTCACTTTTTATTGAACTGGACAAGTTAGATGAACTAAAATAGCTTTATTGGCTTGCTTCTTGTCTCCAGGTCAAGCAGGTGCCTGCAAGGGCTGCCTATTTTCTTCTCTTTCTGGATATTCAAATTATTAACTTAAAAGCGTGCATGAAGTTACACAAACACAGGTGGGTACCTTTAAAATATCAAACCCTTTAGATCTTAAATAAGCAAGCACTCAGATGTTGAAAAACGAATCAAGTATTTTAATTGTTTCCTAGTTAGTTCTTTATAACATAAAGGTTCATAGCGTTTATCTGGGAATAGACTGAGTTCCTTCAGGGCAGCACATAATCTACTCATCCAGGTATCCCCAACATCTGGCACATAGTAGGTGCTCACCAGAGTAGGTGCTTAACATGGTAGGTACCTGATAAATATATGTTGAAGCTCTAGTACTGTCTCTTATTGCCTACTTGCAGACTTGCCTCACATACTTTCCATGCACAGGCATGTGCGCGCACACACACACACACACACACACACACAAGGTTGTGAGCTCCTAGAGGAGAGGATCTGTGTCTTATTCATCTCTGTATTCTCTAATATAGGGCCACCAGATAGCCGGTGATAATTAAATGATCACTGAATTGAACAGCACAAGGATTTTAACTTGGGTTATTCGGTTCATCTGCCCTTCCCCCACCCCACCTTGTCCATTTGGCTCTCAGGCCAGACTGCCTAAAATCGTCATATCAATCTAATCAAGTATTTGAAAGCCAGAGACCTTGAAATTATTTAAATCAAGTTCAGAATTACATTTTTAAATTTACTCCAGCCATCTCATAAGTAGATTTAGGAACTAGCTAACTGCCATCCCAGGAGGGAAAAAAAAAAAAAAGCATAAGCCTAATGAATGTGGTCAGACATACCCTGTAACAGATGTCCAACGTGCTGCCATGAGCTTAAATCATAAATATGATGGCTCTGTTTGGCATAGCAAAATATATTAGAAGTGTTTTATCAGTCACTGGGCAACTTGCTCGATGGGAGGGGAATGATCCTGAAAAATGCAGGAGCTCTGACTAGTAGCATCTCAGAAGGAGCCCTGGAGAAACACAGATAATCTGTTTGCAATGATTCATCAAATTGGTCCTTTGTTTCCCTAATTTGAGTGTCAAGTGCAACCATACAGTAAAGAATTGCCAAGACCCGATAAGATTCTCTTCTGGCTGCTGCTTTTCCTGCCCTAACAACTGGTACTATTCATGCCTAGAGCACAAATTGAATAAATAGCTTCAAGGCTGGCAATGTTGGACTGTGTTTTGAATTTTCTGTTTTTCTTTAAAAGGCTAAATCCTATGTGTGCCTTGCTTTCCCCCAAACACATTGCATGGATAGTCACTGTGGTATCAATAATGTTAACTTTCTTAATACTAAGTATGGGAGGATGCCTCGTAAGTTAAAAATAGTTCCTGTTGTATCATCAGTAGAGCAATGGATTACTGAAGATTAAAAAATGATTGTAATGCCTTTTTTGGCCTTGAGAAAGCTCTTATTGTGCCTATGGTTCGGTTGGCCGGCTGATCATTTCCATCTTAATGTAATCTTTAACATTACGCTGTTACAGGTGAGGTGTTAATACATTAAGACAACTATTCTCGCTGAGCAATTTCACAAGAAATATGTCTTTAACTAAATTAGACATTTAACAAATGCCATTTGTAATTCAACGCAGGGAGCAGAATGTCCCTAAAACAAGCTATTGATGTGAATTCCCCAACATAAGACAATAATTTTTAAAAAATTTTAATCGACATTCTAATGTGAAATTATGTACTGTCGGTGCAGTACACCAATATAAGGAGAACCCCAAAGTCCTTAGGAATCTTAAAAAATAAGCAGTAAGCAGTTTTATCTCTAGCAGCCAGAAATCTTTCCTCACAATTAAGAAGAATCTACAGGTCCAGTTAATCATGTGGCAATGATGTGCGGAGTGTATCTAACACTTTAAAATCATTTAGATGAATGCTAGAAACCTCAAAGTTCTGTGAGAAATATAAATTGTAATATTTAAAACAAGTAAATGAATTAAATAATTTAGATGAAGATTTAGATATAAAGGTTGCAACTGAAATAATTTTTTGGAAAAATTATTTCCTGACAGATTTCCCCATGCTATGAACATAAATGCAAAAACTATAAATAGGGCTACTGACATTTGGGCAGTTGGCTTGTTTTTATCAAAATTACAAAACAGAATTTAGTTTGCAGATTTTCAAATGGCTATGATGTTCAGAATCCGATTGGGTTCTTCTTCCTTTTTACTTGATGACTTCATAAAAGATAAATAAGCCCTCGGACCAATAGGTGGGTACACTAGCACGGTTAACTCTCTCGCCCCAGAAATTCCACTAGGCTGAAAAGATTATTATTTGGGGGCGGGAAGGGGGGGATGCAGAGGTCTTTAGGACCCAGCAGGCGGCGGCAGGCGGCAGTTGTGTAGATCACTGAGAGACTACGAGGGTCCGGTTCAGTTTTAATTCTGTCTCTAATCTCTGCAACAGCCGCGCTTCCTGGGTCCCGCGGCTCTCCTACCCACTCAGCCGCGGCCAGCGGCCGGGCGAAAATCAGAGCCGCCCGCCCCCCATCACCCACCATGGAAACCTTCCAAGAAAAAGTGGCTCCGGACGCGTGTGCCTGAGGATTCCTCACAAAAGAGGTGCCCAAAATGAAGACCCTGATGGTGAGTCATTTGTGGCAACTCCTCTGGGCAGAGGTGGAGACCCCCAGACGCAGCGTCCCCGGGGCGCACCGGAGAGCTCCAGAGGCGCCTAACCCTGCGCCGCGAGGTCGCCTGTTACAAAGGGACAACTTTCCACCTGCTCCGTGTCCCCTTCCGGTTCTCTGGTTCTGCCTGGCTGGGAATCCCAGAGCCGGGCTGGGAGCTCGGGTTGCCTCGGCTTCTGGATCTCAGGCAAGAGGTCTGGGGACCCACGGAGAGCTGGAGAAGCGGTGGAGGGGTGGGCGCGTGGCTGAGGGGATGGGGGGTGCCCAAAAGCAACAGCCTGGCAAAAAACTAAGAGGGGCGGGGAAGGGGGGATCTTTGCAGACTTTCTTGGTTTTCTTGTCGGATTTCAAACTTGCAAGAATCGCCGAGGTAGAGCCCCGCGGGTCCAGAAAGGGCCGGGTGCAAGGGCTAGAGGTTCCAGCAGCCGAGCTAGGGGAGGGAGGCCCCTCCTCAAAGTACGAGCCCACCTCTGCCCTCGCCGCCGGCGCGTTTTCCCTCGCGTAGCCGGGCGCCGCGCACCACCTGCCCTCTGCCGAGAGATCTGGGAGGTGGCGTGGGCCGGGAGCAGCTACGCTCCCGGGCATCGCCTGCCGTACGCGCGAGGACCGTGCCTCCCCTGCCCCGGCTGCGCGCGGAGGGCTAAGACGCGGGCCACCTCCCTCCAGCCCCGGACTTCCTCCGCGCGTCTCACCGTCTCGCGCGTGTCCCCGCCGGCGCGCTTCGCCGGGGTTGGCTCTCAGCGGCTCTCCTCTGCTCTCTTCCGCCCGCCCGCAGCGCCATGGTCTGGCTGTGTGTTTAGCGCTCACCACCATGTGCACCAGCTTGTTGCTCGTGTACAGCAGCCTCGGCGGCCAGAAGGAGCGGCCCCCGCAGCAGCAGCAGGCAGCGGCGACCGGCAGCGCGCAGCCGTCGGCGGAGAGCAGCCCCCCCTCGAGGCCCCGGGCCCCCGCGGGACCGCAGCCGCTGGACGGATACCTCGGCGTGAGGGACCACAAGGTGACAGCTCGCTCGCCAGCGCGCACGCCACCCAGCCTGGGGATCCCGCACACCTGAGCCTGCCCCTTTCCCGGGGCTGGGAGGCGCCGTGAGTAGGTGCCATTCGGAGGCTGGAAGGGGGAGCGGACCCATTGGGGTGGGGTGGGATAGTTCCTTCTTGCTATGAATTCCCGTTTGGAGTCGGAGGTAAAGTTTTTCAGGGGAATAGGGGTGACACGAGTGGACCCAAAGCCCCATTTCCTAACAGGAACCGACCCTGGAAGTAGAACCTTCTGGTCCCCAGAATTGCAGCCGCGGGTGGGTGCTGGGTGCCTGAAGCGTCTGGTTTGGCCAGTCGCGCCCTGGTGGGAGGAGAGCCGGGAGGGCGCGAGTAACGGCCAGAGCATTGCCCCGCCGGGAACTGGAGGGTGAGTAGCAGCCAGTCCGCGGCCCCTGCTCGAAGATTCCCTTCTGATCTCGGCGCGTCGGATTGCTCTGGGCAGAATCAGCGCAGCCTTGGGGAGCGGTCCCAGGCAGGCGCGGAAGGCTGGAGGCACAAACTCAGCTTTCATTGGCTTGAAACTCATCGTTGAGGGCCTGTTTTTCTCTGCCTTCCGGGAAGCCGTTGCATGGCTTGTCTAATAATTAATAAGATGATTTTTTTTAATTGAGCCTCCTTTCCCCCAAATAATAAATCTCCGGTTTCAGTGTGCGAAGCCTCTGGGAGAATTCTAATCAAGTTTCCTGATTCTGAAAAGATCTTTTAATACAGTTTGAATATATTCCCCATTATTTGAAGCTGCTAATATGTTTTTATTAAAACACAATTACACTCTGTATCTGCTCTATAAAGGTTAGAGGATTTCTTGAAACCACCCAGCTATTCTGCATTTTACATTACTAGATTTTATGCTTGTGAACCAAAGTATTATTTAGCAGGTGGTCCTTTTGCATGAAAAGATGGGTCTTACCGTTCATGAAAAAGTCAAACTTTTTTTTAAGTGGCAATCAAAATATTTCCACTCATTTGTGCAGTGCATATTGCAAAAAGGATTTTGGAGGGTAAAAATTTAAGGCAGGACCCAGCTACTAGGGATCCTTGAATGCCTGTGGAAAAAAACAACATACCATGAAATGTGGTTGGGTGGATAGATAGGCCAATAGGTATAATGTATAAGAAATGCTAGGTATAAAACAGTACTGTTAGGGTACAGAAATGAGAAACATCACTGCCCTGGAAGGTTTAAGGAAATTCTCTCTGAAAAGGTAGACTTTGCACTGGGGAAAATTTGGGGAAGCAGAAAAAGGAAGGGATTTCTTTAGGAAGTGATTTGGGGAGTGCAGAGGGGGCTCGTGATAGAATCTTGAAATCAAAAGTAGAGAGGGTCGTCAGTTTTTTAGTAACAGCTTCACTTTCTTCTTTAAGATGTTGATCAATAACACTCTTTGTATGTGCAAGCAACCTATAAGGGCTGGAGTTCTAGAAAAGTTTAGACATCGGCTTCTGACTGGATGGATGTGGTGTTTATGTGTAACTGGTACAGGATGAATATATTGAACTTGGTGGATTTTCATGGTGTTGTTTAGTGGAAATGGCTATATAGCACTTGTGAAGCTTTGATTAATGGGGTGTCAAAAGGTAAATTTGCTGAAAGCTTTGATCTGCCTACTTTCCTTCCTGTGTTCTCCTGCTGGATGGACCACGGCTGAGAATATTGATAGCATAAGGCAAAATATGATGCCCTCGTGTTTGTTTTCAGAAACAGTGTTTATTCACACAAATATATTGGATTCCCTTTTCAATGTATCAGAGTACTATTCATTAAAATGAAAAACAGCCCCTTTTGAAAGAAATGTTGAAACTCAATATGAGAAATCACGATAATCTATAGTAAAGGGTTTTATAAACTGTGAAGTGTTATATGGATGATAAACGTGTGAACGTCCTTGGAATTCTTTTTTTTTTTTAAAGATTTTATTTATTTATTTGAGAGAGAGAGAGAGCACATGAGAGGGGGGAGGGTCAGAGGGAGAAGCAGACTCCCTGCCGAGCAGGGAGCCCGATGCGGGACTCGATGTGGGACTCGATCCCAGGACTCCAGGATCATGACCTGAGCCGAAGGCAGTCGCTTAACCAACTGAGCCACCCAGGCACCCCATCCTTGGAATTCTTAGCAGAGAATTATAAATGTGACCAGGAAGGTCTTTGCATCTAATGAATACCAGTGGAATTCTTTCAAAGAAAACCAACGTGTCATCAAATTCCATACTCCAAGGATTCAGCAGAGCTTACCCCACCCCAAGCAAAAGAACAAATGCAAATCTTAAAATCTATGTCTCTTCTGTAGGCATTATCCCAATTGTCCCACTGAACCACATGTAAACTTCTACTCAAAGTGTCATCATTTTACTGCTATTATTTACCTGGCTAGAAATTGGGTGAAGTTTCATTTCTGATGGCTATAGGGAGGTACATGTAGTGTTCATGTCCTCTCCAAAAGTTGCTATTTACTTAGGTTTACTTAAGATCTTCCTATAGTCTTGCTTAGGCAGAGGTGGAAATTTGTTAGAATATTGCTAGGATTTTTTTTTTCCAGATTAACCCAGGGGAGGGTAAGAAATCAGGATTTTCTACTCTTACTATGTTGCTAGATGATACCCTGATTGCTTTTTTTTCACTCTCATATCAGGCCTTAGAAAAATTATAGGGTGTGCTGGATGTGATGACCACCAAGCCATATACTACTGCATATTGAATCAGAATTCCAAGAGACTTTTTATTTGCCATTGATTTACAGAATCTGGAGAGAGTTACAGATACTATTTAGGAAAATGTTCACATCTCCATTGCTAGAGGTCCCAAAGTCTGATAAATATGTAGTGTTTATGTTCAGTTACATGATGGTATTAACATTATAACTCTAAGATTAAATTCAACAGGTGGTGCTAATCCCCAGCACCTGAATTTCTCAAATTACAGGCTGTCTGCAATGATTGTCTTGTCTCATACGGCTGCAGACTAAATTACTGTTGAGATTAAATCACTATGTGCTTTTGTTGAAAGACATGCTGCAAGTCAGGCCGGTGATGAGCAATGTGTGTTGAAGCTTAAAATATCACTTTCCATGGTCATATTCTCTACTTCCTTGTTCACAAACGATGTGAGCTGAAATTGTAATTCTAGTGTGACTGAGTGAAGGCTACTTGGAGTTTCTTGTGATAATGAAGACCTTTCATTTTCTGTTAGAGAGATTCTTGCTCTTCATTTCCAACCCTTTTCCCCAGACCCTTTCCCACAAACATTTCACCAACTCATTTCAATCTTGTTCATGTCTGTCACTGCAGGTACTGTATCTCTATCCTGCCGTTACTGTTGTGGTCCCCAGTTTTGGAGCTACTGATTTCTAACCAGATCAGCCAGACAACAAGAAAAGAAGTCAATTTTCATGGCTTTGGAAACCTTCTGTATTTAGAACTACAGCATAATGTATAACCAAACTAAAGCACGTGGGTGCACGTGCATGCACACGCACATGCACACAGGCACAAACACTGAATTAAGCAACCTTCGGAGAAAAGCTCCAATTCTCCCAGCAGAGTGGAAGGGGGCATGGAGTGTATTGTTTCCAGCCTGGATCTGGTCTGGGTAGATAAAGTCATTTGCCATCTGGTGGACCCTGTGAAATGAAACTATGAGCCGAATCCCATTTCCAGTGGACAGGAGCCCTTATCATAGGAGGCCCACTTGTCACCTGGGCTGCCCTTTTCTGAGATGGCTTATGAAAGAGCAGTGATCAATGGGGTCTGAAGCTGAGCTGCTATCTCCTTGCTTCAATAGTAGCTCCCAGGAATGGATTTTACACATACTAATAACATGCTTGTCCTTGGTTCTTTCCCTCCTTAAGCACTCAGTTATTCAGACAAAACAGAACTGCTTGGAGGTAACAGTATGTTTGCTATTAATTCACAGATGTCCAATTGGAGTGATAGGACAAGTCAATGCAAGAGTTGAAAAATAATTCAAAACCAGAAAAAAAGGTGCATGCCATATAACTTACTTTGGAATTATGGCATAAGTATTCTTTCTTTTAAAAAGTATATAAACTCTCAGGCGCCTGGGTGGCTCAGTTGGTTAAGCGACTGCCTTCGGCTCAGGTCATGATCCTGGAGTCCCGGGATCGAGTCCCACATCGGGCTTCCTGCTCAGCAGGGAGTCTGCTTCTCCCTCTGACCCTCTTCCCTCTCATGCTTTCTATCTCTCATTCTCTCGCTCTCTCAAATAAATAAATAAAATCTTAAAAAAAAATAAAAAATAAAAAGTATATAAACTCTCAAATGTAAGTTTGCACCATTTATTAGACCCCATTTTATAATATTTGAGGCAGCCAATCAACGATAGGTAACTTGGATCTCAAAATCAAAGTGAGCTAATTTTCAGTGCTCAGGTACTAACAAAATGTAACCTGTCAATGGTGATAAGACCCTATTATCACAAATCGTCAACCAAAAGGAATTATAAAATGAACTATTTTTCATGGGTGAGGAGTTGCAATAATGTGGTTGCTTTTAACAGGAGAAATGTTCATATAATATTTGTTATAATACATAACCTGAATTCTGAGAGTCAGGAGTGTTTCTCCAGCTTCCCAAGGAGTAATGCCAAGATACCCCCATGCCAAAGTCCAGACCACACCTGGTAAATGAGTCTGAGCTGGCTCCCTCTCCACTTCTGGGCATTCTGTCCTCTTTGCTCGTCTTTGAAAACTCATTGTGTCTCAGGACCTTTGCACTTGCTCTCCCCACTCCCTGGAAAACTCTTGCCCAAGATTTTGTACATGGCTAGCTCCTTCTGGTCATTCAGTCCTCAGATCACATGTCATCTTTTTCTGGACAACACTCTTTAAAGAGCTCTCTCCTTAACAGTCATTCTCTATCATATTAGCCTGTTTTATTTTCCTTATACTAGTTAACAATATCTGAATAAATCTTAAAGTTATCTTTTCTATTGTTTGTCTCCCCCT